TCGGTTGTAAATGCGTTTTTCCCTCTCTCGGAACAAAAAAAAGGTTGCACTAGTTTTGGCGTGGTTGGACAAACTACCTATGATGAAGATAGTGAGTAATATTCTTTCTTTTCTTCTTATTGTTAGTAAAAATATCGTTTACCTCTTTCAGCCCGAAATGATTTATCGATCGGTGTCGAAGGGATGTCAAATCGAGATCGATCGACGAATCATTTATAACTGATGGTGAGTACAGGTCAGTATATAATTTTTCCTTTTGTTTTAGGAATCGGCTATGAGGAATTTGTATCTGCGGATTATCACCTTGTACATAGTCGTAAACGTCTTGCTTCGTTTTTAATTATTACGTATGACTGATATCTTGAGAGAAGATATGCATGATTACTTAGGACATGTACATACTTTATTACTCGTTCATTTTGCTAGTTTTAGTTTTTGCATTTACCGATCTTTTACTTTCTTAAGGAGGGTGGTTGCTGAAATAAAAATGATAAAAATAAATTCAAATTTATAGAAAACATTCGTCTATGGGAATTTGTCCTCCATGCGAATGTTCAAGACGATTGTCTGCATGATTGTCGAATAATTAATTATTAAAGTAATACTATTGCACATGGTCAACATAGCAAAAGTATTATGATATCTGTAATTTAATTCTCGAAACCATGTTAAATATCGCATTCGTCAAAATTCTTTGTAAATGTGTTGTCACGCTCTTTTCTGCTCTATTTGCCGGGCGCGACGAAGAAAGAGGTGGCTTACGCGAACGATACGCGGCCGTCGCCGTTCCGGGCGAATCTCCGGAACGGGCGCTAAAACGGCCAAGTTGGGCGCCAGACGCGCTCGCGGGCGACGTCAATTACTTGTCGCGAAACACACCAGCTCCCCGGGTGGAAACGGCGCCGATCCGCTCGGTTAACGCCGCTATTTAGCCTCCTCGACGCGAAAAGGGCCGGCTGCTCTCTACCGTCGGCAGAGTGGCGGGGTCCCGTAATTACGGGCACGCGGGAACGGGACGGCGGGACGGAACGCGACACACACACACGCACGGACGAACACTCTAAAATAATCGGGACTTGGGTTCAGAGAATATAATAAACGATTTAATAGGTCGGATACAGAAAAAAAGGGGCCTCCGCCGAGGCGAACTCGCGATCCGTCGGTCTCTAGCCTCCCCGCGGGAGGTTATTCGCGTGCGCGACACGTGACTCGCGGCCGACACCCGGCGTGCCGGCCCGCTGCGACAGAATTCCCCGGTGCGGGCCCAAAAAGGCGCCCGCTCGAACCACGGCGCACGGGGCGCCCGTTCAACGCTCCCCTCCGAGGTCGCAATAACCGATACCCGCCCGCTACGGTCGCCCGATAAGCTCACGGCCGTTCCCCGGGAGCTCCCGCGCTTGGCACCGCCGATCCGCTCGCGACACGAAATGGCCGGCTCCGACTCCCCCTTGGAGCGGATACTCGACGGCCCGAAATACTAACACGCACGCGGCGCGATGCCAGAGCGCGAGCTAACCCCCTCGGAAGCACGCGGCCTTTACATCAAGAATTGTCCCTCGAGGGCCACCTCACCGGTACGCTCCCTGGATCTCACGGCGCGGTCCCGGTCGGCACTCTCCTCCCCGGCTCCTCGTCCTCGGCTCGTTGCGGCCCGTGGTCGGCACCCGGATCGCCGGCTCGATACGCGCTCCGATATTCGGGGTGATACGGGTGAGGATCCGCGAACGAAAGCGGAAGATCCTGCGCGAGCGGGTCGATCACCCGATCGCTCGTTACGACCGCGAAAAGGGGCTGCGCAAGATAGCGGCGCCGCGGATCCGCCAATCAGTGGGCCGCTTGCCCGGCGTGTCGCCGGGCCCGCAGGGGCGTTATCGCTGCCCGCGCGCTTCCGGGTGCGTAATTCGCCCCGCGCGACTCGCAGGACCGGGGCGGTCGATCCTGGGCCCGCTCTCCGGCGCGTTGGTCCTCCGGCTCCGCCGACCCTCCTGACCTTCCGGGGGCCTCCGCCCGTGCTCGCCCCTCGGTTTACGGTCCGGCCGGCGCCTCGTCTCTCGCCCCTCAGGCGCGGCTCCGCGTGTTCGGGCCCCAGGTCCCAGGGCGGCTTGGCTTCTCGGCGTTCGCCACCCGTCGGTGCCTCTCGCCCTCACCCCTCGACTCGCTCTTCGCTCTGGTTGGCCCCCTGGCTTCCCCGCGGCCGCCGCTCGCTGGCCTCCTCGCGCTCTCGCCCCTCAGCTCTCTCTCTCTCTTCACCCCTCAGCCTTGTCGTCCTTTGGTCCCCTCGCTGGTCAGGGCGGCTCGGTGACGCTCGATGGGCGCGATACAAAAATAAAAGAAATTTCGAGTAAGCGGGCAAGTAAAAAAAACGTGTAGTTGCGACCCCGGGAGGTTTCCCTACGGCCTTGCGCGGATCCTCTTTTCCCGGGCGGACCGACACCGCGCCTTGGGACGGCAGCGGGGAGCTGGCACGCGGCAGCTAATCCGCCACGTCACAGTGTATATAATTATTTGCACTAATTTTTATAAAATTCTTATGTTTTATTATATATTATTACTATTAATACATATATTTTTTCTATAAATTTAAATTTATTTTTATAATTTTTATTTGAACAACCACACTCCTTAACAAGACATGGAAGCAATTATGCCTCGATATTCACCAAAGCAAACAACAGAAAATGTACATAGCAATGAATATACAAATATGCATATTGTTCCTCATTCTTAGATGTAACCTGCGAATACACGCGTTTTGCACTCGAATAATAACAGCAGAAAATAACAAACCATGTTATAGCCCTGATGAAGCAGACTGCAACGCCTGTGAAACGTCGGCACCACACTGCAAACGGACGCGGCAACCATCCGGAAGCCATGAAGACTAAAGAAGACAACAGCCGCGAAAGCCTGAAAGCCAAAACCATGTTATAATTTGTTAAAATATACTAAACTCGTACTGCATATATACGTTTCCCATTTATTTTTCCACAACTGAAACTTTTCTGAAGCACTTCTTTTACATAATGCGAATCGAGCACGCGATCGTCCGTCGCGTACGATTTTATTAATAATACGCTTATCAGAACTGCAACGCAAATAATCTGCGATGCTAAACTGCTTTATAACGTTTGTAACAATATCGATTAACGTTAACTAATCAATTTCAACATTGATCTAGCGTTGATTGTACGCGACGTATGAACCACATTGCTCAAACCAACAGCTACAACCTGGGGTTCGGTTCTTGGACAATTTGCAAGAGAAACGTATGCGAAGATTCTGGTCTCACAAGAAAGTTGTAAGTCTATTGGCTAAAATCATGCGAATAGCCAATCACCTTGCAACTTTTCTGTGAGAGCGCACTTTTCGCATCCGTTTTCTTTGCGAACAATTAAAGAACTGGATTCCTGTTCTTTTGTATTGGGTGACAGGCTTAACTTGAATGATGGTTGCTATGATATTATTGGTGAAAGAACTAATCGAAGCGAATAATTATTCTATAGCTCCCTTTTTTCCCTTTCTAAAAAGGAGATGTTACCAGCGCAATTGTCGTTAATATCGAACAGTTGAGGCCTCTTTTCCGCGATGTCGATTGGTCTTCTCGAAGCGCGATGTGCTTCACTTCTCTTTTAGTGTCATGCGGCTCTTGTACAGCCGAGTGCGATGCACATATTTTCTCTTTTTGAGACGGTGGTTCGGCTAATAAATGTGACTGAATTTCCTCTTGAAACTCTATACGTTGAATTTTCTTGATAATGATCTTCTGAGCTGCTTCCAATTCTTGTACCGACAAAGGCTTCGATCTACGCTGATTTACCTTTGATCTTGCGTTGTATATAAAACGAAGACATGTGGCAACTACCTTGATCAGTCGAAAATATGATGAGAATCGCTCGATTATGTCAAAGGTATTTCGCCTTCAGGTATTACAGCCGCGGCCACGACAACTCTTCGCCGCTCGGGTAATTCATCTGATCCTTGATGTGGTCGTACGGTTTTAGGCCATGATACTTCTTCTGATATCAACCATATAGGCCCGTTCCACCATACATAGTATTGCTTCTTTAAGCACGTCCGGACTAGCGCCACGCGATAAAATGTCGGCAGGGTTTTCATTGGTCTTAACATGCAACCAACTCTTGATACGAGTAAGCTCCTGTATTTCTTCTATCCGATTTGCAACAAACGTGTCGAAACTGCGGCTTGGCGATCTAATCCAATCGATGACTATTGTGGAGTCCGTCCAATAGTATATGGCGTTTATTTCCAACTCTAAAATGGGCACTATTTTGCTGATTAATTGCGCCAATAATTGCGCGCCACACAACTCGAGTCGTGGCAGGGACAGCGCCTTGAGGGGTGCTACTCGAGACTTTGCGCACAATAACTTCGCATGATGGTTTCCTTCTTGATCGGTAGTCCGCATATAGACATAGGCGCCGTAGGCACTTTGACTCGCATCACAGAATCCATGTAATTCGACGCGAATGGCTTCTTGAATTATTACTTTGCGTGTGATGCGAATTTCGTTTAACAAGGCGAGTTGCGACTTGTAATTGTTCCATTGCGTGTGTAGGTCCAAAGGCAGAGATTCGTCCCAGCCGAGCTGCAATGCCCATAGCCGCTGCATCATTATTTTCGCTAATACGACAACTGGTCCGATTAAGCCCAACGGGTCAAAGATTTGAGCGACGCACGATAGAATTGCTCTCTTCGTCACGCGCTAAGTGTTATTCTTGTTGACTAGTATACGGTATTGTAAGTTGTCCTCTGCTGGATTCCACTGGATGCCAAGAGTTTTGCAAATGCCTTATTTATCCAATGCTCGTGTCGAATTAGCCGTGGAGGCTGCAGGAAGATCCTCAATCAATTCCTGGCTGTTGGAAGCCCACTTGCACAATATACAGCCACCCTTTTCCAAAAGAGCTGTCGTTTCCTTGCGAATCCGCAGAGCCTCTGCCTTTGTAATGGCTCCAGATATTAAGTCGTCGACGTTGAAATCACGTAGTGTGATCTTCGATGGGGAAGTTATTTGCTTCGAGCTCGGCAAACATTCTAATGGACTTGATGGCGAGAAATGCTGCTGGCCCCGTACCATACGTGAGAGTTATAAGCTCGTATTCCTTAATTGGCTGATCTGGATTATCACGCCATACGATGCGCTGTAATGCAACCTGTGATTCATCAATAAAGACTTGTCTATACATCTTTTTAATATCTGCAATCAAAACATATTCAAAAGTGCGGAACCTCATGACAATGGAGAATAAGTCTTGCTGCAGAACAGGTCCAGTCATCAAAGCATCATTAAGCGAAATGCCTGAAGTTGTCTTGCATGAGGCGTCAAATACCACTCTTAACTTGGTAGTATCACTTTCCTCTTTAATTACGCAATGATGCGGCAAGTAGTAGTGAGGCATAACCAGCGCTTCCGGGGTTTGAATCTTCCTCATATGCCCTATAGCTTCATATTCGTGAATAAACGCTGCGTAATCCTTCTTCAATAGTGGATCCCGATTAAATCGCTTCTCCATGTTCTTGAATCGGCATATTGCTGTGTCCTTAGATTGGCCCATACGTCACATTTCTTCTTGTTTTATAGGAAGTTGAACGACGAATCGTCCTTCCGTATTGCGCCTTACCGTAGCTTCAAAGTGCTGCTCACACTTTCGATCTTCGAATGACATTTTTTCTTTCCGCGCGCCGTACTCGATTTCCCAAAACTTAGCTACTGCTTCCTCCAAGTTACCCACGTGGTTATATTGCTTGGGAGAGGCTCAATTGCACACAGTACAATTGGACACGATGCAATTGCACACAGTGCTATTGGACACATAATGTTGCGCACAGTTCATTTGGACACAGTTCTTTTGCGCACCGTACAATTGGACACCGTTGCTTTTGGACACAGGTTATCGAAATATAATTTAAAACACACAGACACACGCGTATGCATGTAGAGCCCTGTTTGGAAATTTTGCTAATTTATAAATAATAAATCTTTCTAAATCAGCGTTTGTTCAATTGGACAATTCTTTTACGCACAGTTCAGTGTCGCACAGTTCAGTGTCGCACAGTTCAGTGTCGCACAGTTCAGTGTCGCACAGTTCAGTGTCGCACAATTCAGTGTCGCACATTTCAGTTTCGCACAGTTCAGTTTCGCACAGTTCAGTTTCGCACGTTACAGTTTCGCACATTTCACTTTCGCATAATTCAGCGTAGATGCACACAAGAATATTCTGCTTTACAAAATAGTTGATTTCACTTAATTTGTTTTTCTAATTCTGGATTACTTCACCTTGTATCTGTTACATGTGCAATGACACTGAACTATGCGAAACTGAACTGTGCAAAAGAGAACTGTGCGAAACTGACATGTGCGAAACTGAAATGTGCGACACTGAACTGTGCGACACTGAACTGTGCGACACTGAACTGTGCGACACTGAACTGTGCGACACTGAACTGTGCGACACTGAACTGTGCGACACTGAACTGTGCGACACTGAACTGTGCGTAAAAGAACTGTCCAATTGAACAAACGCTGATTTGGAAAGATTTATTATTTATAAATTAGCAAAATTTCCAAACAGGGCTCTACATGCATACGCGTGTGTCTGTGTGTTTTAAATTATATTTCGATAACCTGTGTCCAAAAGCAACGGTGTCCAATTGTACGGTGCGCAAAAGAACTGTGTCCAAATGAACGGTGCGCAAAAGAACTGTGCGCAACATTATGTGTCCAATAGCACTGTGTGCAATTGCATCGTGTCCAATTGTACTGTGCGCAATTGAAGGCTTCTCATATTGCTCAACGATGCTTTGACTTGTGCCCTTTTCGTACTTACGCCTCCTGCTGCAATCCATCCTAGCTGAGTTTTTTGCCACTGCGGCTGAGTATTGATGCTCTTGATTTGGCCCACGCAAATAATGTCCCGAAAGATTTCCACTCCGATGAGTGGAGCATATCAATCCTTGATGACTCTATGAAATCCGGATCTGCTAGCTTAATTTCCGGTGGAACGCGAATGTCCAAACGACTGATAGCTGCATTCGGAATGTCCTGCGTGATCTAGTGTAAGACAAAACACTTGAGCTCTGCCTTGAAGCCATTGAAACGAGACTGTAACTTTACCTTGACGCAGCTATGTGTTTTTGCGCTTGATCCTCCCACGCCATTAATTGGTACAGATGTGCGTATTCGTTTGAGCCCAAGCTTATCCACCATGCTTGAAGTTATAAAACTCGCTTGGGAACCGTTATCCAGGAGCGCTCGACAATTATGCACGTTTCCTTTATCATCTTGAACGTGGACAATAGCTGTTGATAACAAGATGTGATGGCCCGCTGCGTGCACGGCGTGGTTCGCATTTATCGTCGATGATTGCACGGGAGCAGCTGAATTTGTTGAACTCTCTTCAGTGTCGCCTACTTGTTGAATGGAGGCCATGTGGAGTAGCGTATTGTGCCTTTTTTACACTTTTGACAAGACCCTGATCGACATTGTTTTGCTCGATGCTCAGTGGATCTTAGACAGTTTAAACATAATTTAAGCGTCTTTACTTCCTGAAACCGCTTATCGACGAGAAGTTCCAAGAACTTGCTGCAAAGGAAAATGGGATGGTCTCCTTTACACATGGCACACGCTGACTTGCTGGTTACCACATTTGACGACGTCGGCTTCCTTGCATTCGCCTTCGTAACCTCCTTAGAAGACGCGGCACCTTGTGGGCTTTTGTCGATTGCTTCGAGTGCGCAACACCTGTGGGACAGAAAGTCGGTTAATTCTTTAAGGCTCAGTATATTTGCGCCTTTAAGACTCGTTTCCCACTCCTTGTTTGTGATTGGTGGCAATTTGCTTGTTATTATAATATATAAATAATAAGGTCATCCCAGTCGTCAGTGGCTCTTCTTAGAACTTTCAATGCGCGTAAATGTTTCATGGCCGTATCCAAAAGACACCGCAATTCCACGTGATTTTCCTTATGTAATGCAGGATGCTCGAAAATGGCTTTGACATGCTTCTGCACAATGACGTGCTGATTGTCGTACCGCTCGTTTAATAAAGCCTATGCTTCTTCGTAGTTTTCGGCTGATAGCTCTAGTGCGCTGATCACGTTTGCCGTTTCACCTTTGAGAGATGCCTTGAGGTAGTGCAATTTTTGTATAGTTGGTAACGTGGGGTTTGCGTGTATCATCGAGTGAAACACGTCATGAAAAGGATGCCAACCCTCGTATAACCCCGAAAAAGTAGGGAGTTCGATACGCGATAGTTTTATGCTCGTGTTAGTAGGGTATATAGTATAGGCCAGTTCTGGACCACTTTTGAATTGATATCGGCGGTCATAACTTTAACCAGGGAGCGGGGCGGGGGGTACTCCGCGGCAAAGGGACCGCGGGAGGAGGGAAGTACGCGACCTTGACGTCACGCAATGTGCTGACCTGTCACTATGTGACATGTAACAGATATCTAGGTGCTTTTTTTTTTTTTTACGTGTGGAAATCCTTTATGGATACCCGGGCCCCCCTCTGGGAAGGGAGTTTACAAATGGCCCGGGTTATGTGGGACTGCCCCCCTAATGACGATCGGGGTGCCGCCGCGAGACGTTGCGGCGGCTGGGCTTACCGCCC